TTGGTATTGGTGCATCCCTGATAGAAAGCAAGTTCTCTGGTTTTCCAGTCTTGGGTTACATGTCCTGGAGGTGCGGCATCATGTACTGACTTCAGCGGTCTTCAGTAAAAGTGAATTAAGTTTCTGCCGATCTTGGATCCCACAATACAGAGCTACTAGGGGTCACATGGCCTAGCATTCCTGCCTCAGAACATGTGACCTGGACCACAGAATCTGCTTTTTACAGCACTGAGGTGTTTATGGTTTTACTACCTTTGGTCCACCTTTCCAATTCTCAGGCAGTCTCTTCTCCCATAGGCTCCGGTGCTCTAAGGACTGGTGCCGTCATCACGTCTTTTGCAGGTCCACTGACCTGCATTAGACTTGAGGATGCTAAGGGACATTCCACAGCCAGAGTGGAAGGCGGAGAGAGATGAGCACTGACTGCCATGGGAGCTGGGATCAGGTAAGTATACCTGCTTTATTCCAGCCCCTAGACCGAAATGAGCACTTAAAGGAGAACTATGAGATGAGTGATTTCCACTCACCTCATAGTTCTAGCCGACCTGTGACAATGAGACTGTCACAGGTCGTCTCAGTAGATCGGGAGGTGAGCGAACACATACCAGGTTCGCTCACCTCTCGATCCTGTCACGGCTCTCTGCCGTGACAGGGGGAGGGCTGGATTCCCCTCTCCCCGCTCCGATCTGCCAGCGATGACTGGCGGAACGGACGGGGGAGGGGGCGGGTACAGCTGGCTCTGCCTCTAGACAGGCAGAGCCAGCTGTCACTCACGCAGCTGGGCGGATCCCGTCATCTACGTCGGGATCCGCTCCGGCTGCGGCGTCTCAGTATACCGCGAGCTGTAGCTCGCGGTATACTGAGCTTAGGGTAACGGGAGGACGCTAGTTTGTGTCCTCCCGTTACCCTAAAGAGAGCTATGGGGAAAAACACTGACCCCATAGTTCTCCTTTAACTCTTGCAGTGTGGGGGAAGTCGAGAGTTCTTCTTCATGCATTAAAATGCACCAAAAATGCCTCAACAATGTGCTAAAATCCATGTACATGTGTTTTTCATGCACTTTCATTAAAGTCTATGGGGCCATGCACTATGTAGCACCAAAAGGCACATGAACCTTTTAAATATTCACACTGCACCATGTTGCCTTGATGTCAATGGACATACAGTAAGAATGATGTGATCTCCATTATTCTGGATTGCAGGGTGATGCAGACGCAGGACACTCGTGTGAACAAGGCCTTATATACACATTCATATTCTAAACAGTTACTCGTTCATAACATTGCATGCATACTAACAGTGTGCAGAATAGCTGAATTCAGCCTATTTTCCTTCAAATCAGCCTAGAAACAAGATGGGGTCCCTACAACAAGCACTATTGCCTGCATATGGACTTTGTCTCTGTTTATTATCAATGAGTTTGAAGAGATCACTGGATGACTTCCACCATCAGTGTCAACTCAATCAGAAGAATTTGTCAGTTCACTGTTTTTTCATTTACAAGTATATATTTGCATGCAGATCCATCAGAATAATGCAATTCAAGAATTGTGATTTATAGATTGTAAAATTATCTGCAGACTGAACCCATCTGCATTTCAGTATTCAAACAAGAATACTTACTCTTTGCCTAATTTACAATTGAATTAACCAATAAATACCCTACATACAAAATTGGTTTCCTCCCAATGTGTAAAAAACAGAGGTGAGCAGATTTGGGATTCCAAGTGTAGGGATTGGGATGTTATAGTTGTTCACATATATCAATCAATGACTTTTATATCTTTCATGGCTGCAACAGCAGTACAATCTCTATGCTGGATTTTACACATTTATAATGGGGCAGTCTCAGTCCTCTTGCTGTATTCTCTGTGAATGAAATAAACGAAATATCCCACAAAGACTGAAATCACTTTGTAATGATCACAGTAGGTGGTTGTAGATGAAAGTCCCCAAATGAGATAGCAAATCTAGCAGGTGATTAAATATGATAGCTTCCCCTAAATGGAAATATCAGTTGTAGGTGGATGGACCCCTTATGATTACAATATGTTTATTTTAAATTCAATTTCCAGCTTTGCATCTGTGACAGGAGCTACCCTCTAGGGCAGTGTTCATAGCACTAAAGAGTGCACCATTAATAGGTCAATCCACACACAAAAGTGATATTTTAGTCATAAGTAAAGCCTGGGGGACTGACTTTTTTTTCAACTCCTGGCTTTTTTATGCCTTGGGCACTCCAATAGTAAACTTTCTGTGGCATTATATATAACTTTGTTACTGGCAGCCTTGGAATTTTGTATTAAATTAAAAAAAAATCTAACTCCTCATAATGGCCACAGTAGATGTGTACTCAAACTGAGATATGTCACCAACAGAGTTCTTGAGAGATATAAAAAAGTATCAGTTGGTTTACCACTCTTGCATCTACCAAAAATTGAAATTGGGTGCGATGATTCTTTAAAACACTAGGCAGCTCCTGCGTCAGAGGGTGTGGCCTTCCACAACACATGGGTTGCAGCAGCAGGAGATAAATGCACTGGTGCCTTGCTGTACCAGCTCAATTTGCCTTAGTAAATTACAAAAATCAGAGACAGCCTCCCCACCTCCCATTCCCCTCCAGACATATTGTGAGCATTAATAGCAAAATGGCCCATTAAATCCATCCCAGATTCTATATATAGAGCACATCCACCTTTCCAACAATAACTCCTTGCAGGATCTCTTGCCTCTATGTTAAATTGACATCCCCTTCCCCAAATCTTATCCTATTGGAACAGCACAGAATATAAATACTGTGTTTGCCAGATAATATGTATGTGATATATTTTGTAACTCTGACTTGCAGTGCTATAAAAAAGATAAGGAATAATTGATTGTGGCAACTGAACATACAAGCAGATATCAGAATATGTGAGAGGAAGAAATGTCTGAATGGGAATGGGTTCATGGGGTCCTATGGAAAGGCTATCTCTCCCATGCAGGTCTGACTGCTGGCTCTCTAATGTGTTTGTCATTAATCTTTCCTCCCCGGGGATCGCTTTTTTGTAGTGAGATAAGCTGGAGAAATTTTCAGCACTCCATGATCGGACAGCTCCCATCGCAGCCACAATCCCACTGGGGTCTCCGAGCCATTGTCAGTGATAACCTGTGCCAAGTCCCAGATTGCTGTACCACGCCTGCATTACACGGATGATTAGCACCATGTAATTAAGTGCCATAATGAAGTGCTGTTGGATCTCCATCAACGAATACGGTCATCTTTAAATGTCATTCGTAGCTTGGATTGAAAAAATAAATGTGTCTGTGTGTGTGTATATATATACACTGTAGATGTCTATATATATATATATATAGATATCTATATATATAGACATCTATATATATAGACATCTATATATATATATAATATATTCATTTAATTTTAGTGTTTCAAATGTTTCAATATTTTCCTTTTACATCTTCAATCACCACAGTACCTTAAATACCATGTTTTATCATTTAAACAAGGGTGTTATCTATATTCAATCGGCAACATTAATTAGTTAATATAGTTAACTTTAGGGCATATGAATAAAGCTTTAGCACAAGGATAATGATCTTTATTTTAGCCCATAAAAACGATATTTTTCAGACATAAGGATCATGATCCTGGCGTGTTAGCTTTTTGAATGAAGTCACTAAATGGTGACAGTTTTGTTACTTTTTTTAACATATGTCTAAACTGAGCAGACTTTGTACAAAACAAATTAAAGGCTGCCAGCATAATTCATGAGAGGGAAGACAATGGAAGGGGATGTAAATAAAAAGTTTTTGCCTGTGGCAACTGATTAGTTTTAATGGCAAGTAGAATAAGTAATCTAGTTGCAAAGGATCAAATTCGTTATTTTTATATGACTATATCAAGTATGCATGTAAGGGTTTCAGAACAAATCATCACTTGTAATTGGAGGAAAATGTTTTTACTCATTTGGACTGATTTATTAAAACGTCAGAGAAGAGGAGCACCAACGCTGAGTTTCTGGTCATACAAATCAGGTTTCAGTTTATGGAAAACGAAACAGGAATTAAAATTGTTCACTTTTGTGGTCATTTTGTTAAATCCAATATTAATAAATATTCCTTTGCAGGGTGTGTCTTAGAACACTGGCTGATGGCCATTATTATTTTGCATGATCTGAATAGATAAAATAATTATCAATGATTTGGCATATAATATATATACAGTGTATATATATATAATGCACGTCCTGTAGACAGTAGGGATTTGTGAAAAATAAAGTCACTAGAAAGTCGGCCTGTTGCCCATTGCAACCAATCAGATCTCATTTCTAGCATGTAACCTGCATTAGAGAAATGACACATGGAATCCAACTGTGAGCTAAGGGAAACTCCTTTCTTTTAAGGCCTGATCATTGAGAAGTCTTGGGGACTAGTAAGTAATAGTAGTTTTGTGTATTCCTTTGTCATTACCATTCAGCTCGGACCTTAACAAATTGCATTAAGCCACAAGAAAAATAAATAATCCAAGCCCCTCTGTGGTAGAAAAAATTATATCTATATTCTGTGCAGATAAGTATTTGTAACACAAAAAAAGATAAAGAAAAATAAATCTGCACATGACAGAGCAATTAAATGCCAATTTTATACATGAAAAACAATTGAGAAAGCCTTTTTGTTTGAGATCATATTCCGGTCGTATATGACATGGCTAGCCCACTCTTTCTGCATCCACTAGAGGGCGTCCTGACCATTGCAGGTCCCTGGCAAAGCTTGTCGGTAAGTTTAAAGTGGAAAATATATTTAATGAATTTGATTTATTACAATAAATAAGATGATGTAATGGCTTAGCTCAGGCTTTACTTGTGTCACATCGCACAAATCATTATTCTACCTGCTTTCTCTCTTTTAAATAGACATGGCCCCTGAATCATTTATTTGGCAAGTTAAGATTTACACATCAGGCTGTTGGTGGTAAAAAAAAAACAATTTGAACCTACCGCAAATCTTTAGTCCCAGCTTTTTCGTACACCCGTGAGCCACCCCACACCAAGTGTCATAAGCTGTAAACAGAATACAATGTATAAGACAACACTCAACACAAGACTGTTTGACAGCTTTGTAACATACATTGTTCTTGTTAAATCGCTTCACCATACAGTTAAATATCTCGGTGAAAATGGACTGGCAATGAAATGTCGGGCTATATGACCTAACAGCACCTGGTAATTAGGAGTGCTGGGAAACTACAAATCCCAGTATAGCCTTCTAGTTGTTCTGTAGTATGGATGCATGAAAAATATATAAAATTCGCTTTACTTTCCCTCCCTTCTTGCCTTTGACCACCCACTCTTTCTTTGTCATCTTTTCCCATCTCAGATCCCTCTACTTCTACTCCCTCCCTTTCATCCTTTCTGCCACCTTTCTCCTACTCTTCTTCTTCCTCTTTCTTCCTTTCTTCTTCCCCTGCCTCTCTATCACTTTCAGCTCCGTCCGTTGCCTTTCTCCCCCCTCTATTTCTTCTTTGTCTCTCACTTCCTCCGTTCTCTCTCCCCTTTCTCCTTTTTTATATGTCCCCTTCTTTCCCTCCTTCATCTCCCACTCTCTTCCTTTCACCTTCTCCCTTTCTCTCTCTCTCTCTCTTCCTTCTTCTCCCTCTGCACCGTTCCCACCCCTGCCTCTATTTCCTTCCCCTTCTTCCTTTCTTCCCCCCTTCCTCGTTCTCTCTCCCACTCCATTTCCTTTCTTCTGCCTCCCCCCCTTTCGCTGTCTCCCCTTCTTTTTCTCTCCCTTTCTTCTGTCCCCCACCCCTTTATTTACCCCCTTCCCTTTCTCTTGCTCTCCCTTTCTTCCTCTACTTATCTCTTTTTACTGCCTCTTCTCCAACCTTTCTTTCCCCTTCCTCTCTCTTCCATCCACCTCCCACCCCATTTCTCTCTTATCTCTATATTATTTCTCCCTCACCCACTCCTCTTCCTCTCTGCGCCCCACAACTCTTTCTCACTCTCACACTTACCTCTCTCCTCACCCCTTTTTCCCTGGCCTACTACCCATCTCTCTCTTCCCCCACCCCCCACCTCTCCCCGTCTCCCCTTGTTTCTTTCACTTTCCCTTTCCTCTCCCACCCCTCCTCTCTCTGTCTCTCTGATTCCCCTACCTGCATTCTCTCCTCTTTCTATCTGGCCTCACACTTCACTTCCCTTTATCCCCTCTCCTCACCCCTTTCTTATTTATGTGATGCAGATCC